TATAGCTTGAAAACGGGAAATAATAATAAAATGCTTGACTCGGAAAACCATGTGCAGGGTCACTATGAGTCAGAACTGACTCCACGGTACTTAACAACAACAACAACCATATGGGGCAGTACAATTACAGAGCTATTATTTATCACAATGTTTCATTTTCTTCAGCTTCAGTCTGAATTTGCTTATAAGCAATTGATAGTCTATTCCACAATCTGCCCCTGGCCTTGTTTTGGCTATTGACATGGAGCTTTTTTTACACCTTTTCTTTCCACAGAAGTAGTCAATTTGGTTTCTGTGTATTCTAGCTTGTGAGGTCCATAGGTATAAGTCATCTCTTATGCTGTTTAAAAAAGGTATTTAAATGAACAAATCACTGGTTTTCCAGAACCGTCATGTTATCTTCAGCATTATTTCTATCACCAAGGCCTTATCTTCCAACTATGGATCATTCCTCTTTGTTTTCAACCTTTGCATTCCAATCGCCAATGATTATCAATATATCTTGACTGCCTGTGTGACCAATTTCAGATTGAAGAAACTAGTAGAATTCTTCTATTTCACCTTCACTGGCTTAATTGGTTGATGTGTAAATCTTAAAAATAGTGGTAATAACTGGTCTTCCCTGTAGGCACATGGATATTATCCTATCACAGACAGTGTTGTACCTCATGACTGATCTGGATATGTTCTTTTTGACAGTAGTAAACCATGTGGTTGTCAGATTCAAAATGGCGATCACCAGTCCATTTCAGCTCACTAATGCCTAAAATATCGATGTTTATGCGTTGCGTTATCATCTTTGAAAATTTCCAATGTTCCTAGATTCATACTTCGTACATTCCATGTTCTGACTATTAATGGAAGTTTACAGCTGTTTCTCTTCATTTTGAGTTGTGCCCCATCAGTAAATGAAAGTCCCAAGGGCTTTACTCCCACGGGCTTTACTCCATTTGCATCATCACAATCAACTCTACTTAGAGGCAGCTCCTTCCCAATCGCATTTTTAGTGCCTTCCAACCTGACGGGCTGAAATTTCCGGCACTATATCTGACAGTGTTTCTCTGCTATTCCTAAGGTTTTCAGAAGTAGTTCATCTCCCCTTCCTAGTCGGTCTTCATCTCGAAGCTCATATGAAACCTGTCCACCATGAGTGACCCTGCTAGTATTTAAAATACCCATGGCATAGCTTCCAAAATCATAGCAACTCACAAGCCACCACAGTAAAACAAACTGACAGAGGAGTGGTGCATATGAATTTGCATATGACCATCAATTGTTCATATGCAAATTCAGACTGAAGCTGAAGTAAATGAAAACAAGTCCACAAGAGCCAAATATGACCTTTGAATATATCCCACCTGAATTTAGAGATCATCTAAAGAACAGATTTGACACATTAGACACTAAAGATCGAAGACCAGAGGAGTTGTGGGATGACATCAAGAACATCATACAGTAAGAAAGCAAAAAGTCTTTAAGAAGAAAGAAGGAAAAGATCAAAATGGATGTCAGAAGAGACCTCAAACTTGCTTTCCAGTGTAGAGATGTTAAAGTAAATGAAAGACATGAGGAGGCAGAGGAGGTACAAGAGCTGAACAGAAAATTTCAAAGGTCAACTTGAAAAGAAAAAGTCAAATA